CTACATATGAACTTAACAATTATCTTGTTACTGTCCACAGAGTAATTTACTGGGATTTTGATTGGGATTACACTGAATCTATAGATCAAGTCCAGAAGATTTGCCATCTTGACAACATTGAGTCTTCCTATCCACAATGTGGAATATTTCTCCAATGATTTAGTCTTCTTTGATACCTTTCATTTAAGTTTTGTAGTTTTTCTCATATAGGACTTTATATTTTGTTATATTTATACCTAAGTATTTCATTTTGGGGGTGATAATGTAAATCATAAGGTGCTTTTAATGTCAAATTCCACTTGTTTTTTGCTGGTATACAGAAATGTGATGGACTTTCATGTATTAACTTTGTATCCTGAAACATTGCTACAACTGCCTATTAGTTACAGGAGGATTTTTTTGGTCAATTCTTTCATATTTTCAACTTAGACAATCACGTCATCTGAAAATGCAAGTTTTATTTCTTTTATAAAAAATATTTACTTTTCTTCTTATTATTTTATTTGATCAGAGACAGAAAGAGAGAGAAAGGGAAAGTGAGAAAAAGAGCTGCCATGTCCAGAACTCGAATCATGGCCAGCCATGTGGGAATCTAGTACCTTAACCACCAAGACACCTGCAACTCCACAAAAGTATTTTATCTCTTAGTCTCTACTCTGTATACTTTTATTTCCTTTTCTTATCTTACTCCATTAACAAGGACCTCCAGGGAACCAGCAGTTAGTGTAATGGCTATCTTGCTGGACCCGGTGGCTTAGAACTCACGCAGGGCGCATGTGCGTGCGTGCCCAAGATCCCGAGAGGCGAATGAAGGACAAGGGATTGCGGTGTGACCATCCCTCCTGGGGGGTGATTTCTTGCTTTCTGTCTCTCTGTCTCTCTCTGTCTGTCTGGTGAGCGCACGCACTCTATAGCGAAAACCTCTCAAAAAAAACCCCCCAAAAACCAAAACAACAAGAACAAAAAGCAAGGACCTCCAGTATAATATTGAAAAGCAGTAGGGAGAAGGGATATCCTTGCCTTCTTGCTGACTGTAGTGGGAAAGCTTCCAGTTTTTTACCATTAAGTATGATGTTGGCGGTGAATGTTTTGTAGATGATCTTTATCAAGTGGTGGATGCTCCCTTATGTTTCTAGTTTGTTGAGAGTGTCAGTTTCGGAAGTTTATGTCATCATGTCTTCAAGCTCATATATTCTTTCTTCTGCTATGTCTAGTCTACAAATGAGCCGATCAAAGGCATTCTTCATATCTGCCACAGTGTGGCTGATTTCTGACATTTCATTAGGATTCTTCTTAGAATTTCCATCTCTCTGCTTTCATTATCCATCATGCATGTTGTTTACATTTTCCATTAAAGTCCTTAGCGTATTAGTCATGTTTTTAAAAAATTCCTATTCATATAATTATTCCTGCTATATATGACTCCTCTTCTGATATTTGGTCAGTCTCTCCAAACAGTGCTTTTTGTCTTTTAGTAGCCTTGTAATTTGTTCTTGTTGTTGTTGAAAGTGGACATAACACACTAGGTAGAAGGAAATGTAGTAAATACGTCTTTACTACTGTAGTGATAAAGTGTAGGGGAAGAGAAGCATTCTATAGTCCTTTGATAAGGTTTCAGTTTTTTGGAACATCTTCATTGTTTCTCAGTTGTTTCTCCCCCTACCTCTTAGTGGGATAAAATGGCTATAAAGGGACGGAGTTAGATATTTCCTTTTTGTTGGGTAGGTTAGGTTCGTTCATTCTTTCTCTCTCTCTCTCTTTCTTTTTAGAGGTTTTTGCTATAGGGCACAAGTACTTGCCAGAAAGAGAGAGACAAAAAGCGAGAAATCAGTCTCCATGGAGGATGGCCATGCCACAATCCCTTCTCCTCAGGATCTTGGGCATGCATGCACATGCGCCCGGTGTGAGTTTAAGCCACTAGGTCCGGGACTCGAACCATGGTCAACTACATGGGAGTCCAGTGACATAGCCATCACACTAACTGCTTGTTCCCGTAATTATTTTTCTTTTATGAACGTTTATTTCCTCTCTTATGTGAGTATATATATTTTTTTGAGAAGTTTTTGCAATGTGAGTATATTTATCCAGAAGGAAAAAAAGTATGTAACTAACTTTTTTTTTTTTCTTTAAGATTTTTTTCCATAAGACACATGCACTCACTGGAGAGAGGGACAGTGAGAGGGAAAGTGAGAAATCACCTCCCAGTGGAGATGACAGTGCAGTCACTTCTGTATTCTTCTCCTGAGACTTTGGGTGCACACATGCACCCAGCATGATTTTCAAGCCACCAGGTCTAGAACTCAGACCATGATCAACCATGTGGGAGTCCAGCACTGGCTCCATGATACAACTTTTTAAATGAGAAGTTTATAAACCTGAAGTCTCAGGGCTAGCAGGTAGTATGGTAATTAGGGTGCTGGACTCCCATGTGGCCGCCCGTGGTTTAAGTCCTTTGCTTTCTCTCTCCACCCTTGATCTCCTCTCCCCGTCTCCCTGTGATGACTCTAGCAAGTTAAAAACAAACAAGCAAATAAATAAATAATTCTAAATAAAAGAAATAAAAGGCAAAAACCAAAAGTCTCTAGAGTCTAGATCTGAAACATTTTGTGCAACATGTAAAGACCCATCTAAGGGACATCCAACTGTGGTCTGTGGGGCCAGTCTAGCCTACTGCCTGCTTTTGAGCTAAGAATTGTGTTTGCAATTAAAAAAAATTTTTTTTTAAGAATTGGTTATTATTATTTTTATTTGATCAGAGAGAGAGGGAGAGGGGGAAAATGAAAAAGCAAGCTGCCATGTCCGGACTCAAACTTCAGCTGGCTATGTGGGAGCCTAACCTTAACCACCATGCTGGTCCCTTAAATGGTTTTTAAAAAAGACTTATGGTACATGATAATTAATTTGAAATTCAGTGTTCATAAAGAGTTTTATGGGAGCACAGTCATGCTAATTCTTAACTCTCTGGCTGCTCTTGTGCTATGATAGAGTACAATAGTTATTACAGAGACTGTATCCTGTAAAGCCTAAAACATGTGCTAGCTGACCCTTTACAGAAGGTGTTTGACAACCCACACCTTATAGTATAGTGTGGTATGACGACTGTTTCAATGTGTTCATATATTGGAATGGTTCTTCTAACTGTTTCAGATGTTCTTGTTTTAGAATCATTGTTGAACTTTGTCTTAAAAAGAATAAAGTTGGGGTAGGTGGCGTGGTGATTGGGGGCACATGGCCATCCGTGGTTTGGGTCCTGAGCCTTGGCAGCTTCCTTTCTCACTTTCTTTTTCTCTTTTTGTCCTTCTCTGGTTAAATTAAAAATAAATAAGTAAATAAAGTTAAAAATTTTTTTTTGTAAAAAATACTTAATTTTATTTATTTATTATTTTTTAAGAGAGATTTTTACTATAAAATGTGTGTGCTCACCAGAGAGATAAAAAGTGAGAAAACAGCCCCTGGGGGGATGATCGCACTGCAGTCCTTTCTCCTCCATTTTCTTGGGATTTGAGACATGCATGCACACACATCTGGTTTGAGTTTCAACTCATAGGTTTCATAACTTCAACTGCAGTTGGCCACATGGGAGTCTAGTGATGTAACCATTACACCATCTGCTGGTCTCTTTAATTTTTTTAAAAATTTGCTATAGGGCTCATGTACTAACCAGAGGGAGGGAGGGAGGGAAGGGAGGAGGAAGGGAGGAAGAGAGTGAGAGCAAGAGAGAAAGTGAGAAAGTAAGCATCCGGGTCCGAAACTCAAAATGTGGTCAGCCAGGTGGGAGCCCAATGCCCTAACCACCGTGTCACCTGTTGGCTCCTAAAATTTTTTTTTTTTCATTAACAGAGATTTTTGCTATAGGGTGTGTGTGTGCACTTGCTGGAGAGACAGAGAGACAGAAAGTGAGAAATCACTTCCCAGGGGAATGGCTGTACCACAATCCCTTCTGCATTCTCCTCTCAGGATTTTGGGCACACATACATACATGCACATAAGCCTGGCATGAGTTTCATGACATTGAGTCCTGGACTTGAACTGGGGTTGACTATATGGGAATCCAGCAACATAACCATTATGTCATCCATTGGTCCCCCTAAATTAATTTTTCGAAAAAAGTCTTTCTTAACATTTCTCATACCTTTGCCCTCTATATCCATTCTATCAACTATTGAGTCATCAGAAAAGTTATGTTGTATTTTTGTATGCAAAAATGCATTATGGTATTTCTGATGACCCAAAATATAGGAAAAATTACCTTGAATCCATAAATAACTTCTCCATTTCTTCTATAAAACACCACAGTTAAAACTATCACAAACTCTTACCAGAAAATCTTTGTAACTTTCTACTGAATCTCCCAGCTAACAGTTTCCCCTTTTAGTTTGCTTCCTAATTTAGACAATGATAGTGTGTTGGCATGGAAAAAGTAAGCATTTTTAGATTAAGAAATATCTGTCACAAACTCCTTAAAAACAGTGGTGAAAAAATCTAAATTTCAGTCTTCTGATCTATAAAATAGGTAAAAACAAACAAAACTCCTTACCTGACTGGAAGAATAGAAAGAAAAGATATAGTTAATGAATAGCTACTAAAAATCCGCTCTTGCTAAAAACAAAATGAAGTCCAAATTCTTCCCTAAAGACCTCCAGATTCCAAGCTAAAAGACTGATTCAGAAGTGATCTTCCACATAAAACACTGCTGTGGCTACATAGTACATTTTTCATTCTTACTGTAAATTAATGACTACGTGACATTCAATTATTCAAAGGGAAGTTGGAAAATAATGTAAAGTATATCTTAATTCTATTTCATTAACTAAATAGTGAGTATATATTCATATAATATTACATAGGTTTTTCAAAAAAAATTCAAGTTTAATTGCTAAAAAGAATTCTGATTATTTGACTTAAATAGCTAAAAAATAAACCCTATAAAATTATAGGTTCAAAGTATATCCTTTATTAATAAAACTTATGGTTTATGCTGTCCCATTGAGAATACTTGCTTTTTTCTTTGTCTTTTCAGCGATTGAAGGAAAAGTTTTCTGATCAAGTAAAACTTCACAAGCTGTGTTATCTATAAATAAGAACACAGTTTAGTATTCAAATTACCTAAGCTGTCATTAACTGTAAGTAGAGAGAACAAGAGAATTCAAATATAACAAAACAAAACTGATTTTAAAGTCTGTGTTCTTATAATAGTTTTAAAAGAAAAACTTTGTATTTGTTGAACAATCTAACTTGTCACAGACAGGAGAAAATATTTCTCTTTAAAGAGATTTTTGCCTTAGAGTGTATGTGCTCACTTAGTAGACAGAGAGAGAGAAAGAGAGAGAGACAGAGACAGAGACAGACACAGTGACAGGAAAAGTGAGAAATTATCCCCTAGGGGGGAAGACTGTGCCGCAATCCCTTTTCCTTCATTCTCCTCCTGGAATCTTGGGCATGCCCACATGTGCACCCAGTGTGGTTTTTGAAGACACTGGGTCTGGGACTTGAACCACAGTCAGCCATGTGAAAGTCCAATGATGTAATCACTATGCCATCTGCTGGTCCCAGGAGAAAATAGTCTTTAAATTAGTCTTTATCTCAGGAGCTCCACATTTCAAAGAAATAAATAAACTGTACATAAAATATTTTCCTTTCAATTAATAGAAAAAGTTGTGTGATTAAAATTCATTTAGCCCCAAACATGTTGGTGCACACTGGAGCTGCTTCTTGGCAGGCCGAGGCCACACTGAAGGCCTGATTAGATTCTGAAAGGTCTCATTTACATTCTGAGCACATAAAATTTCTCTGGAATTGTAACAGGCCCTGGATCATCAGAACAAAAAAAAAAAAAAATAAGTGGCATCTCACTTTCTGATCTCAAAATATATTACGAAACTGATAATCAAAACAGTATTGTAGTGGCATGAAAACAGGCATGTAGACCAATGGAACAGAATGAGAACCCAGAAATAAACTCCCAAAACATGCAACCAGCTGATTTTTTGACAGAGGGCACCAGTCAATCCAGTGGGGGAAAGAAAACCTCTTTAGCAGATGATACTGGAAAAATTGGGTACCCTTTTACAAGAAAAAATGGAAAAAATGGGGTCCCAAAAAAAAAAAAAAAAAAAAAAAAAAAAAAAAAAAAGAAAGGCAAGTATTCTCTTCTATTTCTGTGTAGACTGTCTCTGGTAATTTGATTGAAATTGTAGGAAACCTGTAAATTGATTTGGGTAGAACTAATATTTTGATTATATTAATTCTTCCAATCCAGGAATATGGGAAGTCTTTCTACTTCTTTTCTATGTGTTAGTTCTTTTTTAATTATTATTATTATTATTTTAAACATTATATTGCTATACAACATTTCACTTGTAAAGAGAATTTACCCAACATGAAATACATCTCAGACTAGTCCAGTTGAGAATACTATACACGTTATCATCAATAGGTAATAAACCATTTCTGTGTCACACAGAAGTCTTGACTCTCTTATTTTTTCTCCCTGATTTC